GCCTAGTGGACAGATAGTTATGCTACTAAGCCCAAGGTAGGTGATTTTAATCTGCAGCCTTCAAGCCTGGTTTTAATTATTTTTGGGCAAACATTCTTCTAAGTGGTATAGCACTGGTCTGTGCATTGCATACAGAGGTAACTCACGGTTGCTGTGATGTTAAACACTGTGACACTGATGTGTCAAATGTGATAATGGTCACCCATGATGGACAGTGTTTGGTGGAGCTTCCTGATTAAAACAAGCTTGGAAGCAGGAGTGGCATCCACTTTTGAAATGGCTTGCCTCTGGGAACTCTATGACCATGGAGGAATGACCAAATTTATACAAGTGTTCAGGTCTTTCGCTCATAGAGTTGCTATGAGTCATCTACGACTCATAACTTAACAACAACATTAGTTAAATGCATGTATGGGCCTATGCCTAAACCCTAGCCAAAGAAGACTTTAAGCTCTTACCAAGTTAACATTTTGAGAAGAAAGAAGGTGGAGATTGATCTGCTTTCTGACCCAGTTGTGAAAATGTCTTAGTAGATGTAATGTTGATACTCTAAAAGCAGTTTCTGTATAAGATAGTCTCAATATCTTGTAGCAAGGCCAAGTGGAGTAATGCATTTATACATAACAAACTACAAACAAACAAAAAGAAATAGACCAAAGTTCAGTCAAACTCATTGCTGTCAAGTTGAAACTGGCTCATAGTTGGACCCTCTGGTGGGTTTTGGAGATTATAAAGCTCAGGGAAGAGACTGACTCTCTTTCTCCAGGCTGATGGATTCAAACTGCCAGGAAGGTGCTACATTCGAATTAACAGTGCAACACCCTACAGACGAGGTCACCAGAACTCCTTCCTGAGTGGACATTAAATACTTGTTAAAGGTGTGTTGCCATTTACACAAGATAACATTTGCTTAAAAGGGACTGAAATTTTTTAAGGGAAACGTCAGAAGCATCGCTACTGTTTCTCAGTGGACTTTATATATTTGGTCTTTCTCTCCAAAGAGCAGCAGTAATGGTTCAGTGGGAGAATTCTTTCCTTCCCTGTGCAGGCCTTGGCCTTGGTATTTGGCCAGTGAGTCTCATGCACAACCTCAATCTATCACAAGATACTTGCACCAGCAGAGGCTCCTGGGTTTCTCAGTGCTACTTGCAGACTAACGTGGCTAGAAAGAAAGACCTGGCTAACTACTTCTGGGAATCAGGCAAGGAATGCTATGGGTTATAATGGGTCCAACCCTTTGTCTGAATTCTACATGGGTCCAAGAGCTGACTAGTCAAGCTAACAACAATCTTTTCTACACCCTATGTAACACATAAAAGCTGCTTCAATCAGTGAGGTACCTTTTCCCAGAGCCATATATTAAAAATCTAATTGTTCTAAGGAGTAAAAAAATGCTCAATTTGCCAGTGAACTGCAAGGGTAATTGTATTTTTTTTTTAAAAAGTTAATCTTTATTTAACTTTCCTAAATTATGTACTCACAGCTCTGAAAACTGTCAAACCTCCCAGTTTCAGATTAAGTGCATTATTTTCTTGTGATAATGGGCACATATGCTCATTAACATGCTGTCATAAACAGCTGTGGTAAATGTATTACGTGTTCTCTGATATAAATAAGGTGTGCGCCAGGAGGTTGCTGCTCAAAATACAGGCCTCTGGAAGAACAAAAAAGCAATAAATGGTTTTTAATACAGTCACTTGGCCTTGGTATTCTAAATTTATTTCAAGCTTATTAATGAGACTTTGATGAAAATTGTGGGCTTTGCTGTAGTGGAATAGCTTGACAGTCAAGGACACTCAAATGTCTTCTGTCTTCCTCGGACTTGGTGGAGATTGAGCTTTGTAATCATCAGCTTGTGTTTCCTTCCTGACAAAGAGGGCAGCATGTGGACTTGGGGAGGAATTGGAAGCAATTCCATTCTGTGTTTAAACTTTGAGTATGCTCTCCTTGACGATCGCCATTACCTGGTTACCATTAATTGGTTACAGGGCTGGAAGTTTCCAAAGAGGATGTTGAATTAGGAGATTGTCTAGTTCACCTCCTGATTTTACAAATGAGGGAATTTAGGTTGTGAGGATTTAAGAGATTGAGACACCACCATGAGCTAAATTTCTCACTCCCGATGTGATCAGTTTTTCTTTCAGAAGAATGGACAATAATTTATTACCCCTACAAAAAGATTCTATATGAAGGAGGAGTTGATTTGACAATGGGGGCTCAGGCTAGGGTCATCTGAGATCTACACCACTATCAGTAATAGCGTAGACTTAAATTCTTACTATTCTTTATTTCAATTGATATTAGTTGGTACACAGTTCCTGATACTTTCCTGGGCTGAGTGGTGGGATGAAGGACAAGAGACTTACTCTGAAGAAATGAAATGAATGTGTAACAACAATGGATGCCATTCAAGCAAAAGCTCTATAGAAGGAGCAAAGCAGCACCTTGCAGATAAAACATTTAGAAACACTGGGTGCACAGGAGCACTACAGCTTTTATCAAGGAACGATGAGAGGCTGGTCAATTTTATCATCCTGGGAAATGGGTACACAGAGCCATGGAGAATTCTCTCCATAGGAAGTAGTGTGAACAATTACTTGTAGGAATATTATATGTGGTTTAACTATCTGCCTTTTGAATGATAAGAAACTCATAATTCCTTGTGGGAATATTTTTTGTAGTTTAACTGTCTGCCTTTTGAATGATAAGATACTCTTGTAAAGTTTTCATAAAGTACAACTTTTTTGTTTTAACAGAAAAAGTAGGAAATCTAGTGAACCTGGATTTTGTTATACTGAGCAGAGTGAATGCTATCCATAGGATAGAGAGGCATTTTTGAGTAAATTCAATGCTATTTCAAAATAACAAGGGTTGGGAGGAGGAAATCTATCTCTGGTGCATTTTCACATTATGTAGACCAGGAGAAAATGGGATTAAGTGGCTACAAGAAAATTTTGTTAGACTCTGAGAATTATTAAATATTGAAAGAAGAGACCAGGGGCTCTGGTAGAATCGTTAGTCTCAGAGATAGTTAAAAATGGAATTGAAAGGAATTTTATTTGAATGATTTAGGTTTACACCTGTCTGAACAAATGGTGGACCTATAAGCTCCTGAGACCTCTACAAATTCCTTGATCCAACAACCATGACTTCTGTCAAATACTGTACTGATAACTCTGAAAAGCATATCTCTCCTCTAATTAATCTTTGATCCATCCCTTCAGAATTATTTCTATATTTCTTCCTCTTTTTAGCAAAGATAGAGGGTCAGTGAATGACAGGAAGGTTCTCAATGTGACTGATTCAGGCTTTAGCATGAAGGCGGGCAAATAGAGGGCAAAGTTCTGATCTGCTGTTCACAAGGTAATTTTAAGTTGTAACAACCATAAGCTCATGACTTTATGTTCACTTATGTTTATGGAAAAATAATCGACGCCTTTGAGCTGTGGTGCTGGAGAAGAGTACTGAATGTACCATGGACTGCCAAGAAAACAAATACATTCATCCTAGAGAGGGTTAAACCAGGCTGCTCCTTGGAGGCAAGGATTATGAGGCTTCACCTGACATACTTTGGACATGTTGTAAGGAGAGACAGGTCCTTGGAGAGGGACATCATGCTGGGCAGAGTGGAGGGACAGCGCAGGAGGGGAAGACCCTCTATGAGGTGGATTGATTCAGTGACTGGGGTAATCGGGATGGGTGTGTCAGAGGCAATGAGATTGGCACAGGATCGAGCAGGGTTTAGGGCTGTTGTACATAGGGTTGCTATGAGTCGCAAATGACTCGACGGCACGTAACAACAGCAACAACAACATGATATTCACTTAGGGTTCCAAATCCATGAGCGATATGTGGATTAAGACCCTTCATGGATTTGTGGTTTTAGGTAGTTATTTTTTGGACTTGATGCTCTAAATGTGATTTCTTACCAAGTTTAAAATCCACCTGAGCTTGATTCTAAGTAACTTCGACTACACTGTTCAGTGTTAGTTCTTTGTTCTTACCTTTTACATGATGCCTTGTCGTTGTGTATCATCAAGCTGTAAGTTACTCATAGCTGGCCCTCCAGCAGGTTTTCAGAGGCAGTAAATGACATGGGAGGAGAGTGCCTGTTTTCCTATCACAAAGCAGCTAGTGGATTAGAATCATGTACTTTTGGGTTGGAAGTGCGATTCTTACTAGTTAGCCACTACAGCTCCATTAAGGTGCCTTAACAAATTGGCTTGTTATTTTTTTTTTAAGACAAAATAAACTGAATCGATGCTTTAGTTAGAGCAAAGAGCCGCCATGGTAAAATGGTTAAGTGTTTGGCTGCTAAGATCAATGAATGGGACCCAGCATCCATTCCATCAGAGAAATGGCCTGGGTTATCCGCTCTCATGCAGATTACAGTCTAGGAGAACCTATTGGGTAGTTCTGTTCTGCACCACAGAGTCACAGAAATCAAATCCATTGTAGACAACAACAACAGCAGGATAGTCAGAACAGAAGAGACAGGAATAAACTTCCACAATTGCAATCTCCAAGGCACACAGTTCAAATTCAGCTGGTGCTCTGTGGAAGAAGGCTGGCAATCTCCTCTTGTGCAGTTTATTGCCTCTAAAAACCCAGTGGAGGGTCACAATGGGTCAGTTCCTATTTGACCATGCACAACAACAACAACAACAACAAAACTAGTTTTATTTAAGATACTAATTTGTTTTTCTGTTTATATCTCAAATACTGCTTGATACGTGATGAAAAGCATGCATGAACTTGTATGAATTTGTTATTTTGAGATAAATATTTTTGTCACTGTTGTTTTTATTGATTGTAGCCACTTCAGCTGGGCTCCTCCCTCCTCCTTTAATATAATAGTTTTGATATTAATTTTCATTTATTTTGGGATATTTTTCTAAAGCTCTCATCGCAACTGAAAAGTTTCATAAAGAAAATTAAAATTCAAGCCTCATAACTGTTTGAACACATGAATTCAAAGCCTGCACTTTTTTTTGTTCTAGGTTTCCAGATTAAAGCTTTCACCTCACTGCGCTTCCTGGTGGAGCCTGCCGATGCCGTCACTATGCGGGGAGGGAATGTCCTCCTTAACTGCTCTGCAGAGTCTGACCAAGGAGTCCCAGTCATTAAGTGGAAGAAAGATGGCATCCACCTAGCCTTGGGGATGGACGAAAGGAAGCAGCAACTTCCAAATGGATCTCTGTTGATACAGAACATCCTTCACTCCAGGCATCACAAGCCAGATGAAGGGCTTTACCAGTGCGAAGCGTCTTTGGGGGAGTCTGGCTCCATCATCAGCCGGGCAGCAAAAGTTTCAGTAGCAGGTAGGATGCTTCTTCCCCCTCCTCCTCTGGCTCCTTCGGGCTTCTTCATGGAATAAGAGAATATTTTTTATAAATGTTGGCTTTGGTGGGGTTTTTTTGACAGATCTTTGCTCACCATTTAGTTATTTTTATTGGTTCGTTTACAAAGATAGTAGGTATTTCACACTATTCTTCATTCACATTATGTTTCTTACAATCTTTCTCATACATTGTTTTATAAAATTAATCACTACTGAACCTTGCCCATAATTACCCTGTCTTTTTGCCCAGATCCTTCCTGTTTCTATCCCTACCTCCTTCTACCCATAAAAAAAAAAATGAAAGAAAGAAAGAAAGAAAGAGAAAGAAAGAAAGAAAGAAAGAAAGAAAGAAAGAAAGAAAGAAAGAAAAATTTGTTGAGACTCTACAGAGCAAAACAGACTCCAGTTCAACCACTTCTGCCTAAATGGACAATTCAGTCACTTTAGGTTCTTCAAATTGGACTACTGCTGTCACTGTTCACTTCTGAGTTCTTCCTTTCTTGTTACCATAAATTACTCTACCCTAAGATTCCTGTATAATCCTTCCAGCTACTCTCTTAAGAGTGCAATGCTTAAGGTATACTTTTTCTTAAAAAAAAACCCAAAACCCAACAAACCCAGACCACAACAACCCACAAAGCTACTTAGCTAAATTAGTATTTAGGGGGTTTGTTGGTTTTTTGTTTTGTTTTTTAGTTTTCTCATCTGATTTTCAAAATCACATCTTTTTAATCTTTTTTTAATTTTTATTTTATAGTGGTTTGCTTACAAAGTTTATATCCATTGTGTTTCACACTCTCCTTCATTTACATTATGTTTCATACACTCATTCCCATTCATTACATTTTTCTAAAACTAAACAACATTGAACTATGCCCACCAGTGCCCTGTGTTTCCAGATCTCTACTGGGTCTTTTCCATTTCCTCACCCACCCCTTCCTTCACTCATCAAATTGTGTGACCCTATGATTTCCCCCCAAACTCACCCATTCTGGCCTCCCCAGTGGTCCTCATCCACATTTTACTAGTTATCTTTCTATTTCTACAATAATGGTCTTGTCCTAATGGGACAGAGTTAGTTCACTCAGCATAGTCCTCTCTATTCCCTCACAAGTTAAGAAATAATTATTGAAATTATTGCTCCTGAGTGCTGTATAGTATTCCATTATGTGGATATACCACAATTTCTCAATCCATTCAGTTGTGGTTGGACATTTGGACTCTTTCCATGTTCTTGTGATGGTGAATAATGCTGATATGAACATTTGGTGTACAAATCTCCATTTGTGTCTCAGTTCTAATTTTCTCGAGGTTGTGTAGTTTTAAGAAGACATCAAGGACTATTTTTAGTTTAAGGTTCAAAGATCGTCTCAAAGCAACAGTTTCAGGGGATTCATTCTGCCTGGCTATTTTATTCTCTGACAAACTATTTTAAATGGAATTTTCCCCAATTTTCATTTCAGAGTTCTCATTGCTGATGTGTAGATAGATAGATGAGTTTTGTTTTGTGAGCTTTACCCCATTGCTTGATTAAATATTTCTATTAGCTCAACATATTTTCATGAAGCCACTGGGATTTTCCATACGTGAGGTCAATAACTTCAGTTCTTTGTTTCCAATTTCTGTACTTTTTTTGACTTATTGTTCTCCTTATACAATATTAAATGGTAATCGGAGAAGACAACCTTGTCTTGTTCTTCATTTCAAGGCAAAAACTCTCAGTCTATCTCCATTAAATGTAATTTTGGCTGTTGAAAGCTTTCAGATCAAAGCTAAGAACCATGCTGAGGTAGAGGTAGAATTCTTTTCAAAATTTATTGTGTACCAGGCTATTCAGCAAGGAGAGTAACACTGGAGGTTGGGCTTAGAGAATTTATATGGGGCTTTAGCAAGTGTGTTTTAGGGGGTTGTGAGACGAGTTGACGTTGCAGTGTCTCATTGGTGCATAACGTTTCTGGTCTTGTAAAAAGATCCTAACATAGGATTTTCTGAGTTCTGGTTTCAGAAAAATGTCTTGTCATAGGATTTTCTGATTTCTGATTTTGCAAAATATCCTAACATGGGATTTTTTAGTGCAGCTCCAACCTTCATTTTGATATTTAGCCTAACAGCTGTTTGGTTCTCATCTATGGAAAGAATGATACTGAGGAATTTCCCTTCTCCCACTTGCATTCTACTTTAGGGTTTTCATCAGAAAAAGGTGTTGGATTTTATCAAATGCTTTTTCTACAACCATAAGGAGGATCATGTGGTTCGTTCTTTCCTTCCTTCTATTGATGTGGGGAGATTCAGTGATGCTGTCATTTAGACATTCATCTGCTCATGCAGGGGTCCTTACTATCTTGCAGGAGAAAGATGAGAGAGTCTGATTCAGTAAAGATTTGCGGCCTTGACAATCTTCTTAGGGAGTTAGTTCTACTCTGTGCCACAGGATCACTTTAAGCTGGGTTCAACTTTATAACAATAGCTTTTTGTATTAATGTTATGTGTTACATTGCCTCAAAGAAAGTCATTTTTGCATTTTTAAAGGGATGAACAAGCAGAACTAACAAAGTCCATATTTATTCCCTCCTGGCTGTAATTTTACTTCTTAAAAATAGCTTTGAAAAAATGTAAGGATTTTGTTAATCAGTATCACATTATTGGTTTGTTTGTTGTTGGGTTTTTTTTACAAAAAACAAAACCCAGTGTAAATCCATGCTTCTGTTTTAGGTGTTTAGGAGCTTTCCATTAATAGAAGATTTTGATGTAATAATTTCAGTAAATACTAGAGGAATAGCATCTTAGTTAATTCAATTTCCAGTTCTCTGCAGGTTTAATTGTAATGGTAAGATGATGATGGTAATGAGTTACCCTTTAGCAAGAATAACTGGGGTAAAAAAAAAAAAAAGAATAACTGGGGTACAAAAAATGACAAACATAGTTCTATAAGATTCAGTACTGTTTAAACAGGATTTATCACTTCAAAATATTCAGCTAGAACAACAACAACAACAACAACAACAAAAAACCCAACCACCCAAAACCCTCCTTGTCTCAGCACTTCGTTGTTGAATCAACATGTCACCAAGCATCAAAATACGTGTACGCTGGTGACATTTTCTATTTCTCATTTGGAGATGTATAATTTCAAGAAAATGTACTTCTCTGAAGGTAAATAACAACAACAACAACAACAATAATAATAATACCTGTTGTGAAGTTGAGAAATGGTAAGCACAAAAACTCATTTTCAGCAACATTGGTGATTAGAGCCACACAGCCAGATATTTGTTGTTGATTGCCTTCAAGTCGAGCACGACTCATAGTGACCCTATGAACAAAAGGCCTGAAGCCCTTCTACAACTATGGACATCTATCAAAGTTCAGAGAGTTTCCAGAGGCACAGGGTGGGTCCAAAGACATGTGGCAAAGGTGGGTAGCAACATTGAATCTATCAGTTGTTTGCTAATTGAGTGAATGTCTTTCATCTGCTCTTTTTGTAAAATGCTTGTCTGATAGATACTATTATATATTTTTTTTAAAAAAAAGACACACTAGGAAGAAGGATTGGCCATCCACTTCGGAAATAACAGGCTTTGGAAAACCCTATTTACAATAGAGCACACTTAGACTAGCAGACATGGCAAGTGAGGGAGTGGCTAGGAAGTTAAAATCTGAAGAAGGTGATTTTGTCAGGTGGAGGATTGAAGTCTCCTAGATCCACAATCAATTCACCATCCAACCCCTACTATGCCATCCTTTGGTGGTTTCCTTCTTTTCCCCACTAGAACTGCTCTTTCATTTTCATTTAAATTAGATCTTGCCTAAGGTATATATTTATATATATATATAATTCCTTGGTGAGAAGGATACTTATCCTGAGCTAGAGTGACCAATCAAACTGGTTTACCCTGGGCTTAACATCTTTGTTCTCAAAAAAGAAGCCAAACAAAACAAAACAACAAAGAAACCATCAGTCCCAGGAGGTCATGACTTTGGTCAGTGCACCTGAAATTAACTCGGCCACTTCTGCCATGGCAGGTTACAGTGAGGACACAAACAACCCCTTTCCTCAGGAGACAAGCGAGTTGGGATCCTGGTCATGGAAAGACATGGGGGAAAACACATCTGGGACCTTTGACTGATGGGTGTCTGAGATTTGATAGATGAGAAAAAAGTCTGGAGAAGACTAAAAGTCAATGTTAATTATGACTGAAAAGAACACGTGCTGTGGGTTAGACCAGAGCTGCTTTCCCAGAATTCCTCAAATGTGTAAAGTAGAAGGGGTGCAATTGCATTTTCTCTCATTTGAGAATCTCTCCTCTAAGATCCCATCCATCAGTCATTACAATACCAGGGAAAGTCAGCTACATAATAAAGTAGCATTTTGATACCTATTCTAAAAGGCAGATGCATATGCTCCCTTACAAAAGAAAAAATTTCAAAAAAATGGCCTGATAGGTTGCTGTTTTCAGGTTTCCTGAAATCTACATTCACTTTTACGTGTTCTCTATTTCAATGGGGAGATGAAGAATGAGCCCTTCCCTGTGAGATATTAAAATAAAGTGGCTTTGACTTTAGTATTCCGTACAAGGAAGGACTCTGAGATTCAGTCACTGAGTTACAATCTAATATTAGATTGTATCATTTCAAGGTAATAAGGCTGTTCACAGCATTTTAAACACTTACCATGCTGGTTGGCAACACAGCATACATCAATGTTATGTCTGCTGAGGTTAGGATTGCCAAACCACTGGGATGCACAAGGGGCATATATCTTCCTCGTAATAAAGACCATAGACCTGATTTAATCTCATTTTTAAAGTATTAGCAGTCAATAAACCAGTCACCACTAAAAGGGAACCATCAGCTTTGCTTGGGGGTGGGGGCAGAGGATAAAAAAAGCCTTCAAACGTGGTGTAGAGTTCATTTACTATCATGCCCCAATTCCATTTTTACTTTCTCTGCGTGTTTCTGGATAAAAAAAAAAAAATGTGA